TAAACTTCTTTCTTCCTTTTTATGTGCCATGTCCGTTCAGGACGTAGGCGATCATGGCTCTCCATTTCCCTCTATCACTTGCAGCTCTCAACAAATCCCTTCCCTCTGCTTCCTCTCCCAGATCACGTTCTGTCATCCACTTGCTCAAGCTTGTCAGGTATATATTATTTGGACTATTGTCCTCATTTTTGTTGCCATATTTATCACAAAGTTTCGGCCTTTGTACGCTCCGGCCTTCTCCAACAAAGATGAGGATAATAGTCCAAATAATGTAAATAGTGTACATAATACCTCATCTCAGAAATATAGACAGATACTCATCAGGTATGTCACGCGCTGCTTTTCCTTGTCTCTCTTTCCCTTTATTTGACTCGTGAGTATCAATTTCTTCAGGTCCTCCTTCCTCATTATGTGTCCAAGAAACTTCAGCTGCCTTTTTCTGATGTTAAGTATAAGCCTCCTCCTTGTTTGCAACCTCTCTCTAACATCTCATCGTTCCTCATATGCTCGGTTCATGATATCTTTAGCATCTTTCTGTAGAAACACATCTCTGTCGCCTCGAGTCTCTTCTTCATCTTTGAGGAAATCGTCCAACATTCTTCGCCGTAAAGAAGAACAGATGTCACGAAACAGTTCAGTGTTCTTTGTTACCAAATAATACTGAACTGTTACGTGGCATCTGTTCCCGTAAACTTATGAAAACGAAAAACTGTCAAACGTTTTAAACATTTTGTCGCCTTTCTTCATCCTTGACACACAAAAAAAATGTTATTTTTCGAACAGACAATCACTGAGAAATGGATTCATTGTGAGAATCCAAAACAATGATATTCGTATCTCTAATAATGAAAACCTTCACCCTCTCAACCTAAACAGAATATATTACGGGATTTTTTTATATTGTTCTAAGGGATTCTTAGGAGTAGATAGGCTCGACTATCGTCCGGTTCATACACCTCCACGATGTTTTGCCCGGGAGTAGAGGTTTATCCCTTGTTTCCTGTTTAGAATTGGATTTCCGGTTTCTTCAACTCTGTACTTCTGAAGTGTCCAGTGTTTTATTCAGTATTTTTTTCCTCTCCTAATAGGAGTAGATAGGTTTGCCTATTGTCCAGTTCACACTCGTCCCGGTCTTTTGAACAGAAGTAGGTTCATTGTTTTGTGTTTAGTTTCCGATTCCTTCTAAAATCTACTTCAACTCTATACTCCTAACGTCTCCGCCTGAACTCTGAAATCTTATTCGTTAAATTTTGACCTCTTCAAGTCTAGAATTAGCTGACTATCTTTCCTGTTATCTAGCCCTTTCTTATGCTATTACAAATCCATACAGTAACCCTCTACCTTGAGTGGCCCTTGGGCTTTGTATTGGGTGAACAAAAATATTGTTTTTCTATTTGCCCAAAATATTTCTCGCATTTCTCGATCGCCATTTCCACGATGATCGTCTGATATTTTTTATAGGAACTAGCCAACGCGAAATGCTTCACGCTGATTGGCTAATACCTGAGATTCGACTGGGCTCTGGCAGGGAGAAAATGTTCTTTGTATTTGGCGGAATTCAAAGGGAATTATTTACGACGTGCGATCATTTGGTCACTGCAATAAGTGATTAACTCGATTGATGTCGGATTTGAACAGCAAACATATTTTCTGAGCAAAGAAGTCAACAGCTGATTTTACTGCATGATATCTCTCTTCACTATGTTACAAATGTGGCGCAAAAAAAGCGACCAAAAACTTAATTTAGAATAGGATGGAATCTTAAATATCATCTCTTGTACAGGTGGAACTTAAAAACATCCAAAAATTCCTATTTACCATCCAATCACATTCTTTCTAACAAGTTAAATCCAGACCCCATTTTGTCATATGTTTTAATCTGATCTAAACTACATTTATAAACGCACATAAATGTACCCATGCGACGTGGCAAAAACCTTTTTTTACCAATGAAAGCACACCAAATTTACTAATTTTCAGACTGTAATCGAATCCATCAAATTAAAGTAAAAAATACAACTCATAAAAGTTTCTTGAAAAGGATATATCTCACGAATAACAAGTTACCACTCTTTTGCTCCTACTGTTTGGCCAGTATATTACTTTAGTTTCCGGCAACTGTAAATTGTAAAATTCTCATTATCACTAATGGATGAGCAATAATAGGTTGCTCTGTTCCCTTTACACTCTTTTACCTTTATAAATACTTTTGGTATCATTCCCATCACCCAAAGAAATGTAAGTGTAACAGGAGGTGATTATTAAGGCAATATATATTATATATCTATGATCCTAAAGAGAAAATGGAAGTACTTAAATGCTCATTTGATCCCAGGAGTGATAGTTCTCACAAGAGTCAATTATCGGGAGAAACAGACGAGAGTTACCGAGATTACGCGAGACTTATTATGAGGTTTATGTCTGAATTTCTGGGATGAAGTTATTATTACACTTTTTATATGCGGACTATTGTCCTCATCTTTGTTGTTATCATACCGGCCTTTATCAGGTGTATGTTGGTCTGGTTCGTGAAATTGGTGATTTAGTTAGTGAGTTCAATGGGTTGGTCAGTGTGTAAACAGTGTGAGTAATAACTGAACAGTATTGCGCGTCTCGAAGAACCTAAATGCAATGCCGTCGGGAGCCCCGTCTTCCAGTAGAGTCAACCATGGCGGTAAGGATTCAGGGAAGAGACGAGACTAAGCACGACCCGACGCCCGGCGGTCAAGGCGACGTTCTTCGTACGAGAACAAGTCGGCAGCCTGATGGAAGCTGTCATCATGAAATGCTAGTCAAGTGCTGGTTTGCTGTCATCATGAAATGCTAGTCAAGTGCTGGTTTGCCACAGCGGATGGTGTCACCTTGTTATAGTGGAATAGTTAATAGACTCTTCCACCTATAAGTAGGAGTAGTCAAACGAGAGAGTCAGTTGGTCAGTCAGTTGATGCCGGACGACCGTTAGTTGGATACTAAAGTATCAGCGACCACAACTAGATTACTCTGCGTCATACCTATTATATCAAGTTCCTAACGTTTTGTACGTCGAACCTATTTTAGGACCGACTTAGTACAAATACAAGCCTCCACTGTGAAATTACTCCACAACACACCTGAAGTGTGTTCCATGGTGTGGCGACCTATGGACCACTTTAAACAATTAGCTGTCAAGGATTTCATGCTCAAAGACTTTTCTTCTTCTCACGATAGGACTCATTTTACATATAAGGAAATGTCTATGCGCATTCCAATACTTGAAAACGAATTCCGCCAACGACGATTAAAAATAAGAACATGACCAGATATCCTTAGACATGGAAAGTAGAACCAGAACAAGCTACCTCCTTAGATTAAATAAGGAGTTCAGTTTGGAATTCCGTGTTTGATTAACTGGATTGACATAGCATTTTCTTTCTTTAGAAAATAGTCTTCGCTTACGTCCTAGCAACTTTATTTTTTCTCATAAATGTTTGGATAATTATCAGTTTCGACCGTCAGATACAACCAAGGCCACCCTCCATATATTTGGTAACTCAGCATTAATTCGTCAACCCAAAAACATTAATGTTTCAGTCTCACGCTGTCCGCTGACATGGGGTAGAACAAATACATTGAATCAATAGCTTCATCTACCGCAAGGAAAGTTGGTTCTCTATGTCATGCCAGAAAGTATTTTTCTCCTCCTTCAAGTCCATCCTTTAAATCTATAAATCAACCGTCCGTCCTTGCATAGAATACTAGGCAGGCATCTCGCTTCCACCCTTTCACTGTCGAAACGGTTAAATGTAACCGTCTCTTCTACTCAAACAGCTTCTTCTGCACTTCCCGTCTGCCGAATTCCCTTCCCCTATCTGCTTCCCCGATTACTATAATATTCAAATATTCAAGTGTAATGTCAATCGACATCTGAGACCCTGAGCTTGTTCCCCGTCCTTTTCTGCATCCTTTCCTTAAACACGCCTCTTTACTCTTGTTCTCAATCCTCTGTAACTCCTCGCATGCTAGTGGCAGTCCCACCTTCCTTGGGGTGAATTGCTTTAAAGAAAAACGTAACTTTGAATATTTTCGTACGCGTAAATTATTATCTAAAATTTCTTTGTTTTTGAAACGGTTGGATTGCTTTGTCTATAACATTTGTGTTATGTTCTTTTCTGAAAGAATTCTCTTTATTGCTTGAAGACGCAAAATCAACTGAATAGAAAATTCCTCCCCGACAAAAAGTCTCCAGTTCGATAAGAATTTTCTCTCAATCTGCGCAACGCGACTTCTTTAGTCAGAGCATTCAGTAAACTGTTTTTGTTTTTTTTTTTAATTCTATGATGTCTTCGCTAAGAAAATGACGTTACTACACCATTAACTTTGCCAATTTTTTATAAACACCCAACAACCTGTCCGCAGCGTTACCTTATAACGTTACAAATACGTCGCCTTGTAACGTTACAAATACGTAGCCTTATAACATTATGAATACGTCGCCTTGTAACGTTTCGAATACGACGTCTTATAATATTTCAAATATGCTGCTTTTTAAAGTCGCAGATATGTTGATTTGTAATGTTCCAAATACTTTGCTTTGTAACGTTGCAAAGACTCTGCATTGTAACGTTACGAATGCGTTGCCTTGTAACATTTAAAATATTTTACCTTCAATCATTTCAAATGCTTCTAATGTCGCGAATGCGTTATCGATTAACATTTCAAATATGTTTCCCTGTAACGTCGCAAATTCGGCGCCTTGTAACGTCACATTTACGTTAGCCTATAACGCTGCATATACTTTGGCGAGTAACAATTTCAAATACGAAACATTGTAACACGTTCAAATACGTTGTCTTGTAACGTCGCAAATTCGGTGCCTTGTAACATTGCATTAACAGGAAATGAAAAATAAGATCCAGGAAGAACGAACTTTCAAACTGAATTTTTATACCTTAACGACATGTTGTGAAGTGAAGTATATTTGATGTTATTGATGACCAGAGTGCCGAATTATGCAGCTTCCTTTATGAAGAAGAATGATAAAAAGAAAAGAAAAAAAATACGTAGAAAGAAAGAAAGAAAGAAAGAAAGAAAGAAAGAAAGAAAGAAAGAAAGAAAGGCATAAAATGACGGGTGGAAAAAATGAAGGATGGAACAAAGAAAAATGTAAAAACGAAGACCGAAAGAAAAAAGGGCTGAACAAGAAAGAATGATAAAAACAGCGAACAAAAAAAGAAAGAAAGAAAGAAAGAAAGAAAGAAAGAAAGAAAGAAAAAGAAAGAAAGAAAGAAAGAAAGAAAGAAAAATGTAGCAAAAAGAAAGAACGTTGACAAAACGAAAAACATATTAGAAAAGAAACAATAAAACAAATTATAATAGAAAGGTAGAAAAGAGATGAAAAAGACAGACTGAGAAAAAGAAAGAAAGAAAAAAGAAAGAAAGAAAAAGAATGGAACAAGGAAATGAAAAAAAGACAGAAATAAAAAACGATGAAAGATCGAATAAACAAACGTTGCAAAACAATTTTAAGAAGAAAAATCATTAAAGAAGTCATTCCTTAATTTCTGTATTTTAGAGGAATTAAAAATGTATAAAGAACCCCAAAAGACATGATTGGTGATATGATTGATGTTGTCTTGTATTCGTTATGATTTTAGCCCTTCCTTTGGCGTCAGAGACGTTTAATGTGGTGTCAGGTTCCACTCAGAATTTCTCCATTAAGAATTTGATAAGAGACAGTTGGCTGAAACGTTTCTCTTATTGGGTGCAATGGTCGGCATTATGGATAACATAACAGCCATAGCTTCTCTTGTAAGAATTAGTTATGATAAATAGATTGGCTTCTTATATGTCCATCATACTATTAATCCTTGTCCTCTGTCATCCCAAAACGCAATATCTCGATCATTCAGTAAGGATCCTCAGAATTTGTCCACTGTCATCCCAAAAATCAATATCTCGAATTCAGTAAGGATCCCTAAGCTTCTAATCCTTGTCCATGTCCCCAAAAATCATAACTCGATCATTCAGTATCCTTGGCGTCCTTAATCTTTGTCCATCATCCCAAAACGCAATATCTCGATCATTCAGTAAGGATCCCTAGGCCTCTTAATCCTTGTCCACTGTCATCCCAAAAATCAATATCTCGATCATTCAGTAAGGATCCCTAAGCTTCTTAATCCTTGTCCACCGTCATCCCCAAAATCAATATCTCGATCATTCAGTAAATCCCTAAGCTTCTAAATCCTTGTCCAATCCCAAAAATCTAATAACTCGATCATTCAGTAATCTCTAGGCGTCTTAATCTTTGACTCATCCCAAAATCAATATCTCGATCATTCAAAGGATCCTTAGCCTCTTGTTGTCCACTGTCATCCCAAAATCAATATCTCGATCATTCAGTAAGGATCCCTAAGCTTCTTAATCCTTGTCCACTGTCATCCCAAAAATCTAATATCTCGATCATTCAGTAAGGATCCCTTGGCGTCTTAATCTTTGTCCACTGTCATCCCAAAACGCAATATCTCGATCATTCACTAAGAATCCCTAGGCCTTTTAATCCTTGTCCACTTCAATCCAAATCTCAATATCTGGATTATTTGATAATGATCATATTTACAATTATGTTTTGCTGTCTGTATATACTTTATCTGCTATTGTTGCATAACATAGACTGAAGAAGATTACGTCACGGGAGAATTATCTTCACGTCTTTCAAGGTCTTTTGGCATAATATATACACTGGAGCAAAAACTTTAAACTCTGGATCTAATAATTAGTAACTTTCCTACTTTCTTTGGTTTAATTAACACCTACTAAGCTAAAATGCTGAAACTATTTATTGTGAAAGGCATCTCGTTTTTTAGAGGGGGATTACCTAAAATTTTAAATCCACCGGCTTTAAGATTACCATTATGCAGCAAATGTAGATTAAGCAAAAGTAGGTAAAATAACAAGAAAGATTAAGGCTTCAAATAATCTTATCTTTTTCTAAAAGGACTTTTCTGAGGCCATAACGAAAAAAGACAACTTACTCAAAATGAATTTTGAAAAGAAACAAATAACAAAATTTTACTTTAATAACATCAAATTACACAAACTACAAAATAGTTAGGCACGGCGTTAAATTTCGACCTTAAAATAGTCGAGACGAAACAATTCTTCGATAAGTTCAAATTATTGTCTTCTTTTAAAAAATTACAGTTCTTAAAAATGTGTTACCTTTTTTCTTTTAGAAATAAAAGAATTTTATTTACATTGTAAGTGTTCAAGTTTAAAATGTAAGAAAAGTATTTTTTTCTGGTTTCTTAGAAAAAATACAATTTTTTTTAAATAAACATTTCAAATTTTTATATTAGATTTTTTCAGCTATAGTTATTAAAAATAATAACTAAATAAATAATAAATAGAACAATTATAACAATATATTGTAATAAAAGTTATGTGACGGAAATAAAATTCGTTCTTACCGTAGATCTTATTAGGCACAATAAGCGATTAACAACAGTAACTAATAATAAAACAGAACCTAGTCCTGAGTATGACCATAAACTACCATCCGACAGCAAGGCCTGTGATCTGGAAATTGGTCGTTTTGAGGATCGTGAAACAACAACTTAATTGCTGTTGCTCCAAGGTCCACCTTGACCTGGGGTGGTAACAACTGTTAGGCAAATGTCGGCAAATAGTGAAACCCCAAACAAAAACAAGACACTATGAAAGTATAAAAATATATTTTAAAAGTAAAAATACTTGGAGTCCATTTTTATGTATAGAAATTAATAATAATACATATTTATAGTAAAATTAGCAACAATATACACATACTAAAAAATTGTAACAACTCCATCCAAATCAGTTTAAAATACTTCCAAACAACCAACTCTTTCATGACATTTGATTAATTCATATAATATCCTACAATTTTCTTATATCAAACTGTATTCCAAAATATAACTTCAACAAAACTACAACATAACACACACATATCAACGCCTCTAGTAATTATGTCCACACAAACATGTATATGCACAAAAAGCTGAGTATCATCTACCATGTATTCTATTGTGAAAGCAGAATAACATATATATTTTTATTAGTTCCAAGCCCCAGAGAAAATTAAATTTCAGCATCAAATGGCCTATAAGAAGTTGATTTGACTTTAAACAAACCAATTAATCAAAATAGAATAATTGTAACAATAATATATTGTAATAAAATTTATGTGACAAAGCGTATATTTAGCAATCTCAACACAGAATATTTTGTTCTTGTTATGTCGGGAACTTTGACATTTCACTTAAAGGAAGCACTTGATGGATTTTTCTTTTGAAGACTGGAATCGCCAACATCGCTTCTCATGCCTTTTGGGACCATTAAGTAATACTTTCGAATTCTATTTTTCTGGGCTTGGCTGATAATTACAGAATACGCAGTTAATGCTGGATCCCTTCACACCCACAAATAATATATATATATATATATATATATATATATAAAACATATATTATTTTTTGCGTAATTGTTATTTAATTACTTAGAAAGAAACCCATTTACAACATAAATTTTGTCTACATAGCAACAATCATATCTTCTTTCATCCATCTTAGAATCGTGGCGTTAAAAATAAAAATGTCGGGCGTCAGTCGAAAATGCAAGACGTAATCTATGACCCGCTGGCGCCTATGTTGCGTCCCCAAATAGGAGAGTGGAATCTCAAACAGGAGATGGGTCATTTTTTTTAATACCATGTCCTTTCATGACGTTAACGATCATGTCTCTCCACAGTGTCCTTTTCGTTATCATCGGGAAAATGTCCATGACGTTTTTGCCTTCTATACGATTCAGAATTCAAATGTTCTCCCCTCCACGACTGACAGCCACCAATTGTTTAGAGAGCCCAGTCTAGGCTGCTCTTTAACCATTACCTCGTTGGAAAATGTAGATTAATTCACCGGCATTTGGCAAAGATTAACGAAGTAGATGAGGCAATAACTTAATGTTGATTGGCCGATTCCACATTCCATACCTCTGACAGTTACATTCATTAAAACCTGATTTCAATTTGGAATTAATCAATTTAATTTTACTGTTTTTAAACACAATTCTCCATATAGCTATGTTAGACAGACATGACCCCTACAGAGGGGGCTGTACCGTTACTGCCCCATCTGTTGGGGGCATGTCTGTCTAACATAGCTGATACAATAACTGTTTTAGAATAGAGTAGAATACCAGTGTCTTTGATGAATAGCTGTTGCCATAAGTGCCTCTTGCTAATAGACCTGTGCCTGTGAAGAGAATTTTTTTTCGAAGGTGGTAGGTCACGTGATATGCGAAATTCTTTTGTGGTCGAAGGCGCTGATCGAAGGTGATGACGTCATCATGGCAACTTGATGAAGCCGACGCCATTGAATGTTTTCGACCGAAGTCGCAGTTTCAAAGGTGATGACATCATCATGACGTCATGATAATCTTCGAAATTCTTTTCTCTTCTCTGTGGCCCAACCCGTTAAGGTACGCCAGGCTAAATGACGGTTCCGTATAGAATACAGGTTCGATTCCTGTCGGAGGACGAATATTTTCTATGAAAATTTCTCGGACATTCAGGCCGGTAAATGTTTGTTAATACTGTTTATTATAAACAGAGCATTTACTTAAATATTTGTATCTATAAAAAGAACGTATAAACATAAAAAATGTCTTAAATAATTGTCGGACTTTGTCTATTCTATAATGTATATACGTATATACATATATTTATACCCTAGTCTAGAGGCCTGAATATTCAAGAAATTTTCTTTAAGAAAAATATGCACTTTCCGGCAGGATTCGAACCAGCGTTCCCCTGGAAGGGAGCGCATAATTTTCTTTAATAAAACCTCTCGAATATTCCGACCGGTAAACGAAAATAAATAAATATATTGTTTAAAAAAAGATGAACGTCTACTCAAATATGAGTATCCACTAAAAATAACGTTTAAATTGATATAATCTGTCGGATCGATAAAAAAAAATCCATTACTTCTTTAAAAAAATAGAAAGAGAAGGTGATTGAAAAGTAACGCCCTATTTTATGTATGAGCAGTCAGCCAGGAGTCCTGACTTAACTCCCTGTAACTTTGGAGGGTGTGACTTTGGGGTTGGATAAAAGAGCAAGTCAACTATAACAGACCAAGAGAACAACTTGAAGGACAAATACAAGAAGTTATATCTTCCATATCACAAGAATTCCAGGTGAAATCATTTGACACGATTCCTGGGAGGCTTCAGATGCTGGTACGAAATCTGGTGACCATATCGAATTTTAATTAAAACCTCATGCTAAACGCTTTCCTCTCATATCCATTTCTTGCAAAAATTATATATATATATATATATATATATATATATATATATATATATATATATATGAAGAAATATAGGTTTAAGGTGTGCTATATTTATGGGATAAAGTGCTCAATATTAGAGATAGAGCGTATGTAAATATAAATATAAAAATGAACATTGAAGTCAACACTCAGAGGTGATAGGCTGTTTCATGTTGGACGCAATCGTCAGGCCTAAAGATTGCGTCCAACATGAAACAGCCTGCTGCATATGCGTGTTGACTTCGATGTTCATACAGAGAACTGGTGCAAAACATGCCACAAGTTCCCCAAACAACATTCTGCAGGTTTTGAATTCAGAGTTCTCCTTCTGCTAGACCGGCTGCCACCCAAGGCTATAGAACCCAGTCTGCCCTACTATTTATCCATAGATGGGGGAGAGAAGAGTTAGATTCATACGTAAGTGAATGTAATGAACTCGACTGGAAATCGAACTCGGCTCTCCGATTCCTCAACCCGATCCGCAATCCACCGTGTCCCTCTATTTCTTTCTTTTCTCTCTCTCTCTCTCTCTCTCTATATATATATATATATATATATATATATATATATATATATAAATATTAAACTTAATAGGCCTAAAATTATTACGACATTGTAAAAAAAAAAATAAGTGCACAATGTTAAAAAGAGCAATCTACCTGATATATATACACACACACAGACACACACACATAGATAGATAGATAGATAGATAGATAGATAGATAGATAGATAATGTATTTAAAACATGAGAAGCTTATGCGGTATAAATAGTCAACTCTTTGGTAGAACCAATCGGCAAACCCTTAAAATATATATATGGTGAATTTTTTCTTTTCTACCATGTTGAATTTTATCTATTCTACCATTTTCATCTATGTATGTTTGCCAGTATAAGTTATATTTTAATAAGTGTTTAGAATTCGTTTAATAACACTTCCAAACTTGAATAATTCTTGCTAGGTGTATCGGTGTGACTTTGTCAATGTATGTGTGTGTATGTTCGTGTCTTTGTTAGTGTCTGTGTGTATGGTCACTTGTGTGTATCTTTCATTGTGTATGTATGTTGTGTTTTTTTGGGGTTTTTTTAAGGATAGTGGAGATATCCTGTCCCGTCGCTTTTGTGTCTGTATATATCTAAATACGTCTGCGTGTTTATGTATTATATGTCTAGAGTCTTTATGGCCATGAGTTTGATAGTGATATTTCTTTCTTTTAGTTTTTCAACAACGTTGCTTGAATTTGTTGTGATGGACTTATTTTTCCAAGGAGAAGGGTTAAAATTTTTGCTATGGCTCTAGCTATTTGAGGGGGGCGAGCGCTGTCTATTCCTGAAATGATGGGGAGCCTAGGGATGAAACGTGTCACAAAAGCTTTTTTTCTAATTTGTCATACTATTTTCTCAATTTTCTGAATATATAATATTATATAAAATTATATATCGTTATGTCATATCATATATATATATATATATATATATATATATATATAAATCAAGAAAAAAAAATTCAAGATCCGTTTCGGTTATAATTTATTTCGTGAATATTTCTATATATAAAATAATCTATATATAGAAATATTCACATTATTTCCATTATTCGGACTATTGTCCTCATCTTTGTCGACTTATTTATTACAACGTTTCGGCCGTTGTACGCTCCGACCTTCTTCAGGTGGTTGGAATGTCGAACTGAACCCTTTATTTCGCTCACTGGGGTACACTGTTCTAGTTCCACGTGCCATGTTTAATGGATATCAGTTATCAGTTATCTCCTGTTAATTTCCCTCTGAAAGTTCTCCACTGCCTTGACCGGGAATTGAACTCACACTCTTTGGGTCCTATCACTAGATCTAACCAACGCCTTTATCCACTGTGCCATGTGCCCGAATAATGTAAATAATGTACATAATACCTCATCTCAGAAATATAGACAGAAATGTTCACGAAATAAGTTATAACCGAAATGGATCATTAGGTTTTTTTTTTCATCTTGATTTATTATTACTATTATGCTCTGTATTTTACATTGAGCTCTCTCTGGAATAGTATCCTCCTTGGAAATATCCCTACCAGTCATAAATTTCAATACATATATATATATATATATATATATATATATATATATATATATATATATATAAAAGGCATTTTTATGTTTATACATTCTTTTTATAGAGACAAATATTTAAGTAAATGCTCTGTTTTATAATAAACAGTATTAATAGCATTTACCTGCCTGAATTTCTGAGAAAATATTCCTTCTCCGACAGGAATCGAACCTGTATACTATACGGAACCGTCATTTAGCCTGACGTGCCTTAACCGATCGAGCCACAGAGGATCATTCGATTAGCAAGGTCGATTTTACTGCTTTTAAACTTCAATCTTCCATGAATCTCTCGCGTACATTCATATCTGCTCGATGCGTATCCAAATGTAAACAAATAACGTCACACATTATGAAATGTACAAAGTCCGACAATTATTTTAAGACGTTTTTATGTTTATACATTCTTTTTTAAACAGTATTAATAACATTTTCTATGAAAATTTCTCGGACATTCAGGCCGGTAAATGTTATTTAATACTGTTTATTATAAAACAGAGCATTTACTTAAATATTTTTATCTTTAAAAAATAATTGTCGGACTTTGTCCATTTCATAATATATATATAAATATGTGTGTGTGTGTGTGTGTGTGTGTGTGTGTGTGTGTGTGTGTGTGTGTGTGTGTGTGCCGGAAAAACTTATAATTCGGTTGTGCACTCTTGGAAGATAAATACAAATTTGTAAACAATGACTATTACTACTAATATTACAAAGCTCTTCCACTTCCTGATTTGAGCACTGTCAGTCAATGGCATGTTTATTTACAGAGTAAGTACGTAAAAATTCGTCTTTCTTTCAACCTTCAAGTAGGTTGATGGCATAGAGGGAAAATCTCCGATTGCTGTCGAATTAGTCGGGTTTCGATCCCGACGAGAAGCAATCGGATGTCTAGTCACACTGATGAGCTGTGATACAGCAAGTCTGTCTTTGATGGCAATATATATATATATATATATATATATATGTGTGTGTGTGAGAGAGAGAGAGATAGTGTGTGTGTCACTAAAGATATTCTCTAGATCTTTACTCTGTTTAGTGAACTGTGAAAAATTAGTACCTCATCCAACTCGAGTTATTCAGCCCTGAAAAACGTCGCTCGGAATATTTCCTGCTTCTTAACATATGATTAGACATGTTCGGCATTTTTACATTTCTTTCGACGTAGACTAACTTGCATTTTTTTTATAATGATAAAAGCCGATTTCACCAAACGACTGATTTGATTTTCCTCTTTTTTCTCTGTGCCACACACGTGGAAAAAATATCCTGTTGCTTAGCCGTTGCCTCAATAATAATTTATTGAAAGGGACATCATAATGGTTAACGAGGCTTTTTAAAAAGGGGTGTGCAAAGGAGAGTTGAATTCGAAAAAAAATGAAACATTCATGAAGGTCATTGAGAAAGCGAATAATACCTTTTTAATCTATTTAGGATTCATCTTCGTTTACGATCCAGGAAATCTAGTAAAGATCAGCCATGTTGATAATCCGATGATGTTGAGTTTACAATCCAGGAAATCTAGTAAAGATCAGAAATGCTGATAACCATATAAAGTTGTGTTTACAATCCATGGAATCTAGTAAAGATCGCAAATGTAGATAATCCGGTGAGTTTAAGTTTACAATCCAGGAAATCTAGTAAAGATCGCAAATGTAGATAATCCGGTGACGTTAAGTTTACAATCCAGGAAATCTAGTAAAGATCTCAAATGTAGATAATCCGATGAGGTTAAGTTTACAATCCAGGAAATCTAGTAAATATCGTAAATGTAGATAATCCGGTGAAGTTGACTTTACAATCCAGGAAATCTAGTAACGGTTGGAAATGTTGATAATCCGATTAAATTGAGTTTATCGTGCATGAAATCTAATATAGAACCTAAATGTTGATAATCTGATGAAGTGGGGCTTAATATCTGGGGGAAAAAATTCATTACTGATATAAATTTTAAAAATAAACATTTTGGTATTTGTACCTAGATTTGACAACAAATGTTTTTATTTGTTCTACTAATTTTTGCCATCTTGGAAGCAAGTTCATGACTCTTTCCTCTCAGAACATAGCATCTTTTTAGATGATGAACTGCTCGAAGCGTTTTTTACAGTTTTTCAAAGAACTAAAGTTCTTCGCATTAGCAGAATTTTACAGGGATCAAATTAAATGGTAACCCAGAGTTGACAGGTCAAGTACAGCGGGTGTAATACGACACCTCAGCTAAGCTGTCCCACTTTCTGTCGGGTCTGCAAAGGGACTGGATGATGAACTGGTTGAAATGATAATTTTATCAGGATCGAAATAAGAGATAATCCGAAGGTGCAAGGTCAGTTGTGTTTGACTTTACGGTAGGGAATCTCATCCAAGCTGAACCGGTTCCTTTTAGATTTACAAAAAGACGGGATACCTGGTGTTTCCCTGATGAAAGATGACGCCTTCTGGATTACCTAATTCTGGGCGCTCTTCGTCGATTACAGCCAATTAGAAACAGTACTTGTCTGAAATCAACGCGACCAAAGAGATCATAATACCCGATGCTCTTCCGATCCCACCATATGCAGCCCGGGTTTGGGAGAAGTTAACTATGGCTCATTTCGCTTCCCCTAGGAAATCAAGCAGGTGCGGAAATTCAAATATCTGGGAAATGTTTTGACAGAGAACGATAAGTGTGACGCTGAGATCTAAAGACGTACTGGGATGGTCAAAGACGTATTCCAAAACCTGGGAAGCCTATTACGAGACAGGAGGATTTCGTCGGTAAAAAAGGAAAGAGTACAGAGCTGCTACATGATATCTGTCCTCCTATACGGCAGCGAATGTTAGACAGTCTTCTCAAAGATAAAGAAGAGACTCGCAACGGAGGTATGGTTCTACAGAAGGATGCTGAGGTTATCATGGACCGAGCGTGTGAATAACGATGTGGTTTTGGAGAGGATGCAAACAAGAAGGAAGTTTATACTTAACATCAGGAAGACGCAGCTGAAATTTCTGGTACACGTAATGAGGATAGAGGGATTGGAGAATCTGATACTCACAGGTCGAATAGAGGGAAAGATAGACAAGGGAAAGCAACGCATGAAATACCTAGTGGGCTCAAGCAAGTGGATGACAGAATATGGCCTGAGGGAAGTAGCAAAGGGACAAACCTTATTGAGAGTTACAAGTGATAGCAGGAAGTGGAGAATCATGATCACATACGTCTTGAGGGGACACAGTACAAAAAATTAACTTGTCTGAATTCAAAGCGGTTGATTTAGCGGAAGGAGATCATAATACCCGATGCCCTTTCAATTCCACCAAATGCAGACCGGGTTTTGGAGTTATTAACTGTGGCTCATTTCGTTTTCCCTGGGACATTTTTCGCTTCTAATTGTTGTAAACCATCCATTTTTCATCGCTTTTATGTTTAATGGACCGTATTTACATCTGGAATTCTCTGCTCAAAAGAAAAAGAAAGATCACAAGCAATGAAAAATTTATTTGAGGAATAGTAGCTGATTTAAAGTAGGATTAAAAACAAACATTATTTACTTTAAGTTTAAAATATCGCAGAATTTTATTTAACACAACGCTGGCCGTTTATTTAAGCTATTGACATGTTTGACAGCTTGATGTTTTTTCTAATATGGAGGCTTTAGCCGTAAAAAATAA